ATTTTTGTATTTTTAGTAGAGACCAGGTTTCACCATGTTGGCCAGGGTAGTCTTAAATTCCTGACCTTAAATGATCTGCCTGCTTTGTGCCCAGCCAAATTTATCTCTCAAAATTATTTACCTAATTATTTTCAAAGTAATTTATCAGAAATGTATCCCAATATTTTCAGTCTATAAAATATTCATAATAGCTCCAGCAACAGTTGGGTCAGCAAAAAGATTCTTTTCAAAATAAAAAAACATGAAAATTTGGGAAGCATTTGCCAAGAATGGCTGACATCTTTTTCAATTGTATTGATTGAAAATGAGCTGGCTGAAAGTTTACATTTTGATGATCTAATCAATACAGTGGCAAAAATGTGAGTCAGAAAAATCTTATAATCAATTGAGATGTCCTATTAAAAAGTATCATATTTACTGTGTTGTATACAATCATGACATTCATTCTTTTTTATATTTTATAATTATATATTGTTGCTCATGTTATTACTACCCTCATTATATTTTATAAGTAATAAAATATTGTTAAAGGAAAATGCTTTATACTTTAGTACCTTTGGCAGCACTTTTCTCCTACTCTTTGAATGAGAGGCCTATTTTCATTGTTTGCTGGGCCTGGCAAACTACGTAGCTAGTGCTGGATGGAAAGATTTAGCAAAGAGCTTCCTTTGCAGACAATTTCTCCTTGAATCCTTACTATTCTGTAGGTGAAAAATAAAAATGGTATGTATTTATGGTGTACAACATAATGTTTTGATGTAAGTATACATTGTTGAATGGCTAATTTTAGCTAATTAACATATCCATTACCTCCCATGTTTCTTTCTTTTTTTTTTTTTGTGGTGAGAACACTTCAAATGTATTCTCTTAGCAACCTTCAAGTATTCAATGCATTGTTATTATTAATAAGTACAGTCATCATGTTGTACAAGGATCTCTTGAACTTATTCCTCCTATGAAACTGAAATTTCCTTTCCTATCCTTTGACCAATATCTCTGTAATTCTCCCCACCCTCAGCCTCTGGTAACCACCATTCTACTTTCTGCTTCTATGAATTCAGCCTTTTTAGATTCCACATATAAGTGAGACGATACAGTCTATGTCTTTTTGTGTCTGGTGTATTTCATTTAACATAATGTCCTCTAGGCTCATCTACATTGCTGCAAATGACAGGATTTCCTTCTTTTGTAAGGCTTGAATAGTATTCCATTGCAAACATATATTTTATATATATACAAATACTACATTTTCTTAATCCACTTATCCGTTGATGGATACTTTGGTTGATTCTGTATCTTGGCTATTGTGAATAATGTTGCAATGAGCATGGGAGTGTAGATATCTCTTTGACATGCTGATTTCATTTCCTTTGGATATATATCCGGTAATGGGATTGCTGGATCATATGGTAGTCCTAGTTTTAATTTTTAAGGAACTCCATACCATTTTTCATAATAGCTGTAGTAATTTACATTTCCACCAACAGTGCACAAGGGTTCCCCTTTCTCTGCATCCTTGCCAACACCTGTCTTTGATAGGTGTTGAAAGATAGGCTGTTTTGATAACAGCCATTCCTACAGGTGTGAGATGGAATCCTTACTCTTTGCAATTTAAACCGATAGGTGATTTAGCCCATTAGAAACAGAAATGTTTCACATTTAAGATTATTTATTTGTCTTTCAGTATCCAAAACAACACAATCACCGAACATGTTTTTGTCTTACCATGAATTATTAGCATGGGTCCTGGTCTCCTGGCCATGTGTTCCTCCTACCTACCTGCTTCTGGAGATTAGGAGATCATCTATGGTGAAGCCACTTCTATGGTATGTGGAGCACAAGGTTGCTATGTTTAAGAATAATTTTTCATAACTTTCATTCAATTTGACACTTTCCCATTGATTTACACTTTGTAAGTCTAGCTATTTGACTTCATCTTGAGAGTGTCTTGGTCAGCCTGAGTAAACAAATGACAAGAGGCTCAGGTACTCTGGTGGCCCCCAGGTTGAGTCTGGAAGATGTATGTCTGGACAGCTGTGTGCAAAACCTTCTGTACATGGAGATCAGCATATCCCCAAATGATATAATAAGTAAAACTAGAATAATAATGAAGAAAAATGACAGGCTTACGGAAGGGAATAAACAGGGTATGCCTCTGGTAAACAACTCCCTGAAGGACTCTTAGAAAAGACTTACTGGTTAATTGAATCAATCTATCATCCTTGGAGTGACAGAACCGAATTTGCAATCTTTTTGGGGAGTTGTTTTATTCCTTTGCAGTTACAGTTTAAATTCATATGAGAGTAGAATAAGCAGTTAAAAATATAGCTGTTTTATTACTAAGGTGCCACATTATTAAGGTACCTTCATTAAAGAAAATGCTCACATTAATTTTAATAATGATTTACAATATGTAAGAGCATCAACATGTGGTTTGTAAAAGGATTTTTTCTCTCTGATTTTGTCTTACAGAAATCAACTTTTATTACTTTAAAAATTTAAGTACATTTGCTTCTAAACCCTATAATAATTAAGAATTTTTAGAAAATGACCTTCGTTATAAAAATCTGCCTTTATATATATATATATATATATATATATATANTTGAGATGGAGTCTTGCTCTATCGCCAGGCTGGAGTGCAGTGGCACAATCTCGGCTCACTGCAACCTCTGCCTCCTGGGTTCAAGCAATTCTTCCGCCTCAGCTTCCTGGGTAGCTGGGACCACAGGCGTGTGTCACCATGCCTGGCTAATTTTTGTATTTTTAGTAGAGACGGGTTTTCACCATGTTGGCCAGGATGGTCTCGATCTCTTGACCTCGTGATCCACCCACCTGCCTTTATATTTTTTAGGAGGAACTCAGCTTTGTCTTCTTTGTTGGGTAGTCATATCTCCTAACACTTGTGCAAATTTCAGTGGTAGATATGACCCTTGAATGTATTATCTAGTTCAAGTTTTATTGAATTAAAAGTCATAAAATACATGTATGTTTTATAAATTTGGCTCTCATAGCTATCAAAATTGTTTCAAGATGCTGGCATGTTGTAAACTGGACGTTGTATATTAATAAAAGTTTATTCTTTTCTTTCTTGGAGTAGGTGGAAGGTAGGCATAAATAAGGAAAAGAGCATTGGACAATGAATCCTGGGTAAAGATTTGTATGTGATGAGGATAACTGGAATTTTACAAGGATCTTCATGTAAAAGCTTCCTAAGTACAAGTGTTGAGTGCTAAAATTTTACCAAAGACAGATGAAACATCTGAAGAAACATTTTGTTGAAGAGTATTGGAAACAGCCAACATGAGACTGCTTAAGTAATCTTAATCTTTCCAATATTAGTTACATATAAGTGTACTGTAAATGAAATGACAGAAAAATATATAGCCCTGAAACTGAACACACAGTGTCTAATGTATAAGAACACACCATATGTACATGTTTACATATTAATTTGAATTATCAGTTTTAAACAAACTATGATATAATGAAAATATGTTTAACATTGAAACTATACTGAACCTGATACACAATAATTCAGAAATATTTTACGATTTAATATTGTCTTAGTTTCTTCTTTATCAAAGTTTATTTGAATTTTTAAAACTCAGGGTAAGTTGATAGAGTCTGGGATTTGTTTTATTCTATTGTGACCAGAGTATATATCCTAAAATTTGCTGTGCAATGATGAGTTATTTGCATTTTCAGGACAGAAGGTAATATTGAATTGTTCCTTAACCTCTTTAGTAGGTTTTAGTTTGAATAATAAATGGGTTTGGGTCTCAAAAATTTCTTCTAAAATGTGACCTATTTAAAATGAATTTGTATTTCTGAATTAACATGGTCTCTACTCATTAGAGTGAAATGTATCAGATGCATAGGAGAGTGAAATGTATCAGAGGTTATATTTTGAAATAGTTAACAGATCAGATGCAGATCCTGGTTCCACAGTATTTTACCAAACACACAACCTATTAAATTGAGAACTCCAGAAGAAAGAATCCTTTCTTCACAGTAGATATACACATAGTTGGTCTATTGGTTTTGTCCCTGTTTATGTAACTGCTTTGTTGTGTGCATTTCATGTCACAGTGTGAAGAAATATCCTGATAGTCATTCACAGCTACTTCAGTGAACACCACATCAGTATACTTTTTACACAGGGGACAAAAGTAAAAGCTGGCTTGATCGTTTATAAGGCTTTCTCCATGTGGCAGAGACATCAAAGACTACAAGTTTATCTTTAGCTTCTTGTAACATGGCCTCGAAGCCTTTTGTGTCTTCAGTCCACTGCAGCTTTTTGACTGAAGGGGGCTGGTGTGTGCCTTTGTGCAGTGGGAGAAAGGACACAACCCTGTGCCTGACATGGCCTGCACCTGGAGCAGCCTGTGCCTGCTGCCCTCAATCCTTAGGTACATACAATGAACTTCAGCTGAAATGTTGTTTTTGCAATCGCTAATGCCAGGGGTTAATCTTTCCTATTTGCCTGCTTTATCCCAACATTGTCTTCTATTGAGGTGAATATCAATATTTGAATAACAATACCAAAACATTCTGTCATCAAACTGGAAATAAATGAGTATTTTAGATTATTTTAATAATTTGGCCTATAAAAATAATATTAAAAAAACTTCTTCCTATAAATTAACCAAGAGTTTTAAACATAGTGACCTCTGTCAACTGTCAGCTTGATACTAACTAAATCCCAGGTGGAAGGCGGTGGGCGGGGTTGGGAGGGGACGTTCTCCAAATGACAGCATGTCTATTGCAGGCAGTCTTCTAAAAGAACGCTCAGTGTTAGCAGATAACGAAAGTACCTGTTACCTATGACAGCAAAAATGATGCCATGACCTGGCAATTTCTTTTCACTGCTGACACATCCCTGCACTACATAAAATATCAGCGTTGCCTTCATATAAATTTCATAGGGTTTCCCACTCAATGGCATAAGCAAATATACTGTGAGAAGCAGGAGGGGTTTTCAGGGATGGCTCAGAAACTTAAGTATTTTTCCATTTATTTTTAAAATGCAAATTACACTAGTAAGTCAAAAAAATCACTCTGTTAAAAATACATTCAGAATTAACAAATGCAAAAAAAAGGACACATCAGGATCATAACTCTTGCTTTCTGAATATTAGGTTTATAACAAAAGCTCAGCCTAGAAAAATAGCATTCTTCACCGGATTTTGAGGAGGATACAGCTGTACAACTTTAGATGTTTTCCCAGATATAATCACACTACTGTGCTTACTGCTCCCTTAAAAGACCTGTCCACTGATTACTTTTTAGTAGTCAACAACTGTTTTTTAAAATTTTGGTGGTGATGTTAGTTGTGATTTGGTGAAAACTTGGCTATAACTTAAAGCAGGAATATGAGGGTTTATTTTCTGTACCCATATACATGTACTATAAGGTGAAATCTCATCACAGCATGAATGTATAGTGAAACCTCATTTTAATAGTCACATTAAAAGTCACATTAGAATAGTTTCTGGCATGTATAGTATTTATACTTTAGGAATCAAAGGACAGTACATTGGTAAATATTTTTCTCATACATTAAACATGCATGTCACTATAAAAGCATCATATGAGGTTTCACTGACATGGCTGCGATTGTTTATTTTATACATGTATGTATGGACAAACATACAAGCCACTGACAAAATTCAACCATGAGTGCTGGAATTTTTTTTTGTAGCTTATGTTCCAATGGTAACTTTTTGTTCCTGTATCATTTTCAAATGTAGATGTGTGTGTATATTACAGACATCCATGCAAACACAGTAATGGAACTGGTGTATGTAAATCTGAATAGGCTAAGGTCCAAAGAAGTTTAATCCAATAACTGAAACTTCATAGAAATCAAAGAAAAAATACTTGCTCCATGCCAATTTGTAGCTTCTGGATTTCACTGTACGAAGGATGGTGCGCTAGTTTTAAAAAATTGAGTTTAATGTCTCAGGTGTATCCAAGAAAAAATATGACTCATCTGAGTTCCTGATAAGCCTGAGCTAATTATATTTTCCACTAATGAAAACCAAATAATGCTTTAAAATATAGAACAAAATTTCCTAGGAGTTCAAAATATTCCATAAACACATTGACCTACTATTAAGTTTCCAAAGGCATCTTGTTGCCAACTACGTTAACAGCACAGTTTTTCTGCCACAATAATACAGGAGGATTGAAATACACTCTAACACACAACAGATCCCCCAAATACCACAAAAAGATCTGAAATATTTCACCAAGGTAACTATTGCTCCCCCCACCCACCCAAAAATAATCTTGTATGCTGAAGTTAGAAAAAAAAGTTCACCTACATAGAGTCTTCAATTTGAATTAGATATAAAAGAGTAAACATAGCTAATACATATTCAGTTGGCCTCTGTTGATAGAAATCCACAGCTGTTTCTGTGTTAGTAAAAGACAATTGTAGATACTTATAAAAGCACCTAGAGTGCAATAAATAAAATCAGCGAGTTAAGCCATTTCTGCTTTCTGCTTCCAATAGACTAGTAAGCTTAGTAGATTAATGTTTTCCTCTGTCCCACCCCAACCCCATCAGAAGACCATATTTTAGAATTATAAAGGTGACAAACATTGTTATTGTTACTTGTCTTTTTTGGGCCACCACGGAGGCTCTATGGTAAAGCACTTTGCTGACAGCTGGTACTTTTCTTATACAGACACACTGGAGCTGCTGAGCTAGTCAGTCTTGTTCCTTGACATGAAACACACAGACTTGAACTCATTCACAATTAATAGCAGTGTGTTAGCCTAAAGGAAGTGACTTGGAGCTGTCTGCACTGAGATTCTTGGGCACACAACGTAGGTGGGTTAAGGCAAGTATGTACGGTACAGCCTTTAGGGCAAACAATCTGTCATTTCGGATTTCGGGTACAAGGTCATCATGGCATGTTTTGTTTGTTTTTGCAATTACATTGCCTAAATAGCCGTGGTGCTGTCAAAATGTATGGAGTGCAGAAGACAGAGCTCTCAAACTAATGTGCCCTGGATGACTTCCCAGCTCACAGAGGCCGACCAGCTGGGCTGCAGAGGAGTTAGCAACGTCCAGCAACCATTGGGCACCAACACATCTCCTTTTGAACTTTCCAAAGGCCTGGGAGAAAGGAGCCTGCTTTCAGGAAATCCAAGATGGGCATGTCCTGCATATTTGTCTGTTTCAGTTAGAAAGAGGAGGTCAAGTGGAATTGGTGTGTGTGTGCTCGTGTGTGTGTGTGTGAGTGTATGTAGAGGCTTGTATTTCTTTTGTTAATATGTATATGTATTTAAACTCAGTTGCTTCTTGCTCTTCATAAAATACAGGAGGCCACTGCGAAAAAAGATCTTTGAAAAGTCCATGGGCTGACATACTGAAGTCATCTGTATTATTTTGACCTAAGAGAGAGAAAAGATGTTTTTAGTCAAGGGGAAAAGTGACGGGTGCCTGTTGCTCACCACCTTTTCTCACCTTTCCAAGCACAAGAGCAAACAAACAAACAAACAAAAAAGAAGCCCAAATTGGTTTTAAATAGATAATTTTCCTCTTCTTTTCTTTTTATTCAGCGCAACTGCATGGATAGAGAGGCCAATTTTGGTCATTTGGAATCTATTTCCAGGGACAAATGAAATGAATATGTATTTCTGTGCAATTAGGCTGCCACGAAAAATACAATGTTTTCAAATGCTGTCTGATATATTATAGGACATTCTTATATTGCCAGAAGCCCAATCAGATGTCTACTTGCTCTGACAGTCACATAGGTCCCTGGTAGTCAAAGCAGCTATTTTGTTAAAAAATTAAACTGTAGACATGGGATGTGTGTGTGTGTGTGTGTGTGTGTGTGTGTGTGTGTGTGTGTGTGTATGCAGCAACTTCATTGCTATCATTGTTTCAACAAGGTTTACCAAACTGTAAGAAAAATATAATTAAAATCTTCCCTTTTAGATTAGTTATACAAAATCTGAAAAATTACAAACCGAGAACAGTCACCCAACTTAAGTGAAGAGGACTGTCTATGCATTGTTTGCAGGAACTGAAACACAGCTGTGACTGTGGGTCAGCTACAGCCGTGTTTTCAAAACTTTGTCCAGGATCTTGGCCACAGAAGATTTTCTGGGAAGAATGGGAGTCTCACAGCTAAAAGTGCATATTACTTTTCAACATTTGTTTTCCTTCCAAGAATAGCTTTTGTTTCCAGTTGCTATATAATATTGTTAGGGTGCTTGAACTGGCCCCTGAAGTTAAATTACTCTTACTTTACAAGACATATTTATGGTAGGTTGACAGAAGTTACACTCTAAATGATAAAGACATAGGAGATGCTAAGTTCTCTACCTCTCAGTAGGTGATGAGGTTTATAGGTGTGTCAGTTTTGGTTTTTCATTAGATTTGAATAAACGGTGGCTCTCAGACGACTGGTTTTGTGGGCTGTGAAGTTGAAAAGGCCCTCATTCAACAGTGCATAATGTAAAATAAAAAAGAAATAAACAGAATGCAGAAAAAGGAGAGAGGCACAGCTGTCTGTGGAAATGCAGTGGCTAAGTTAGTGTTAAGAATACAAACAAGCAAATTAAAACTTATAGAATGTGATACCAGGTCAGACTCATAGTCTATCCAATAATTTGGAACGAACACTGAATGAAGGGGTCAGGAAAACCAGTTGATAATCCTGGGTGCATCACTAACAAGTTGTGTGATTTTTGTTTTCAGTTTCCTCATCTGTAAAATAAAACTTCTGTGTTCTAGGATCTGCAGTGTCCTATGAGGTGTTTTGTGAAAGGGATGATTGGAGTATTCTGACTAGTAATTTTATACATAATTTCCTTAAGTATACATAATTTCCTAAATTTGAATTCCAGGAAACATTTAACTTATTCATTGGCCAGTGAGACTTGAAAGCTCTGACACAACTTTACCAGTCTCATGCAGTAAAGAGGAAAACAACATATTTTTTATAACTATTGGCATTTAAAGTGTTCTCTTTAACAAAATGATGGGGAGTTTTGTTCTCAAGGAATTGAATTCTAGACAAAGATATCTATCTTTGTAGAGTCTCTTCTTTAAAGCCCATTAGAACTATAAATGCTTGATTTGAAATAATAAATTATATACAATCAGCATTCTCATGTTATCACAGCTGATCTATAGAGATGAGAGATTATATCTAATTTATTACAGCTTGATCATATTTATGACCATTCATGTTGATCAATACAATAAAATATTATGTGATATTATTAGTAGCAAGCAATTATAAACCTTTTAGATGTTTTATTCACTCTTTTTTTTTGAGATGGAGTCTCACTTTGTCACTCAGGCTGGAATCCAGTGGTGTGATCTCGGCTCACTGCAACTTCTGCCTCCCAGGTTCCCGCGATTCTCCAGCCTCAACCTCCCGAGTAACTGGGATTACAGGTGTGCACCACTACGCCTGGCTAATTTTTATATTTTTAGTAGAGATGGGGTTTCACCATGTTGGCCAAACTGGTCTCGAACTCCTGACCTCAGTTGATCTACCTGTCTTGGCCTCCCAAAGTACTGGGATTATAGGTGCGAACCACCATGCCTGGCCTTATTCTACTCTTGAGCACAACTATATTGTTACGTGTTACTTGGGCTGATATTATATGTCAGCAGTCTCCAACATTTTTGGCACCAGAGACTGGTTTTGTGGAAGACAATTTTTCTATGGGCCGGGGTTGAGGAGGAAGGTTTCAGGATGAAACTGTTCTACCTCAGATCATCAGGCACTGGATTCTCATAAGGATCACAAAACCTAGCTCCCTCACACATGCAGTTCACAATAAGGTTCACACTGCTATGAGAGTGTAATGCCGCCGCTGATCTGACAGGAGGCAGAGCTCAGGCAGTAATGCTCCCTCTCCTGCCGCTCACCTCCTGGTCCGTGCTCAGCATCTAACAGGCCATGGGCCAGGACTACTCGCGGTCCAGGGGACCCCTGTTATATGTAATGTACTGTTTACAGAGGAGATCTTTTAGGAATGACTTATAGTATATGTCATTTCTGACTTGATACAGCCTTTTCATGAGTGATGTTGATTAACATAAGCATTATTCTCCACTAATTAGTTTATTAAGCACTTACTATGTGTTATGCCCTGTGTTTCATGTGCTTTATATATATTAATTTCAGAACAATCAGATAAAGTATGTATGCTATCTCTATTTTCCAGGTGAGGAAACTTAGGCTTGGTGAGATTAAATAAAGCTATTCAAACAAAGTTACGTGCCCATGGTTGCAGATAATTTAATCTCAGAGAGCATGCCTTCAGCGGGTCATCTTAACCACTACTCCTGATTGCTCTGCCTTTTTAAATAGAACACTTTATAGAATGTTACATAAACTCTTGAGAAGAATGGTAAAGAGTGTGAAGGATTGATCATTTTTGTTGTTGTAGCTATCAAGAATTTTTCTGGGAGGATAGGGAAGGTATGGCATGCATAGCAAATACCTGTAGTACATGGTGAAAGAAATAAAAGATAAATATTAGAGGAGAAAAGATTAAGAAGTGTTTCATAAAGGAATATATCTTAAGATAAAATTCAAAGGATAGTGGGGTTTCAAAGAGTAGAATTTGGGAAAAAAAGGTGATGTTTGGTGTCAAGAGAACACTAGAAACCATTGGAAAAATACATATCATATTTGGATAAGACAAGAGTTCTACTCTGGCTAGAAAATGGCTAAGGGGAGCTATCAGACTGTTTATGGTCTCAAGCTTCAGGAGGACAGGGCTAGCTCTCATTCATTACTACATTTCCCTAACATCTCCAGCATCACCTGCTTATGGTTGGGACTCAAAGGTCATTAAGAGTTGAAGAGAAGAGATACTGTTTCAACAGACTATTGGGGGCCAGGTCAGAGTAGACTTGCAGGCTATAGTAAGGAATTGAGATTTTTTAGTAGGTAATAGGGACTGCTTGATAGCTTTGAGGCAGGAAAGTGAAATCACCAGCGCAGTACTTTAGGAAGATTAATTTGGCAGCCACATGGAGGATACAATAGAGGTTTCTGAAATGACAGAGACCAAAGGTCATACATTGCATGAATTAGGGCAGTGATTGTGAGAATGTAAAAAAAGAAATATGTCATACGCTGTGCAGAACTTCAAATGAAGCAAAGTATTGGTTGGTTTCTGAACTGCTAAAATCTGTTTTATGGATGCCATTAGCAAATGATTTCAGAGAACTACAAGGGACTCAAAGAAAAAGACAGGCATGGTGCAAGATTATTCTTTTTTTTAAAGAGAGTTTAAAAAGGGGGTGTTTAAAGACTAATCTCTTTGGAGGAGAAATACTTACTCCCAAACTCCATTTATTATCCTACACGCTGAAGATATTAAAAGGCAAAATGATTCAATGGTGGAGGACAAGGACAACAAACACATATCTTCAAAGAGAAGTTCACATTTTAAAATGAATTGGAATCTTACTTTCTATTTGATCTTCGCTTGCAATTCAGCATATCACTTGATGCTGATATATAGAATTTGTTATCAGTTGTTATCCAAGGGAATTTGCCTAAACACAGATATAAAAATCAGGCTCTGATTGTATGTCTGCTCTCTTGAGTGCTAGAGTTAAGGGTTCGGTAAGTTTCAGTGTTAATGCTCCAGTTCATTTCCACTTTTACATTAGAAAAATGATAGAGAAAGTGTATTACTCAGTTTTTGAATTTTTTAAACACTACATATAACTAGGGTGATCCTATTATTTATCATTTAAATGAGAACTCTTTTGAGAGTACTAATTATGCCAGGACAACCATTGTAAAATGAAACTAAATATATGGTTTATATATAGTTACCTTTAACTGCTTACATTGTTATATCATTTTCAAAAAATACAACTTTTTGGCAATCAAAGAAGTGGTAGATAACTAACATAGGATTTTGAGACTTGTAGGTGATACGTAAGATTAAAGGTAACTTTAGAAATGGCATTTCTTATAAGTCAAATAAGAAAAATACAAGGAAAAATGTTATCAAAATTATCCTAGCCAAAACAATATTAATAGAAAGAATACTGTAAGTATATAACTGAACAAAAGCTGCATGCCATCAATCTTGTATCATGATACAGTTACTTGATTATCTTTAGTACCCCAGAAGAACACCTTCCAAGAAAAATACTTACATGTACATAGGCTGTAGTTGTAAATGAGATGTCTTTTGAGGCCCTTGATAGCCATAAGAGTCAAAGCCACCTATGAAATCAACTGAAAAGAGACAATTGTCTTCATTAGTTAGATTTTCAGAAGAGAGAAATATTCATGATCAAGGCTCCACAAAGATGACCTTTTATTAATAACAGTCTATTAAACTATTAAAAGCAACTAATTGTTCAGAAAAAAAAATGAAAGAAATAATAGTTCTTTTAAGGTAGTGATTCTGCCACTCCCTCCTCTCCAACTCATTGTAAGATTCATTATTGCTTTACAAAAATGTATTCACTTGGTAGAAAAAATGATGCACTATTCTCAAGCAACCGAGACCTAACAGAAATAATGAATTTATTTACACAATAGAGATGCTATATGCCTTTTTGGTTAGTGTAGATTTTCTGTGACATGTTACACAATGCTATAGCATATAAATATAAATAATGACCACTCAAGTGCAAGTATCTATCAGCGATTGCAGTGCTAGTAATAATATTGCATGTTATGGTTGTCAAGCACAAGGTGCTATGGTAGAGGTGATGTAAATGAACGTGACATTGCAGTCCCTGCCAAATGTGGCTTACAATCTGAAACGGATAATCAGAGGTAAAGATTTGGAACAATCTAACCAAATATTCAAATTCAGTACATACTTAGCTATTTAAGATACAATAATATATAATAAGATTATATTATATAATCTTATTATGTGGCAGATTATATTTTCAAAATATATATAATCTAATATATATATTATGTGGCAGATTATATTTTCAAAAATGGCAGCAATAGTATCTCCTATTTTACATGTTTTTACAATGTGATTTTGACATTCCTCCCATACAATGGTTTGAGTATATGTCTCTTCCTGTTGAACACTGGTAGACCTTTCTGGAAGATTTGACTATGCTATCAATGACACTATGGGGTTTCTAAGGCTAGGTCATGAAAGTGTCATGCACTTTTGCTCTTTTGGGTTGTTCTCTCTTGGAACACAGCCATGATGCCACAAGGAAGCCCAAGCTAGCCCACATGGAAAGATCAATGGAGGACCTATGGATAAGTGTTTCAGTAACAGAATAACTGACATATCAGCTGATAGCCAGCATCTAAACCCAGGCGTGGGAAAGAAAATAGCTTTAAATCAGAGGTGTCCAGTCTTTTGGCTTCCCTGAGCCACATTGGAAGAAGAAGAATGGTCTTGGGTCACACATAAAACACACTAATACTAATGATAGCTGATGAACTAAAAAAAAATGCCAAATGTCTCATAATGTTTTTAAAAAGTTTACAAATTTGTTTTAGGACGCAGTCAAAGCCATCCTGGGCTGCATGTGGCCTGTGGGCTTTGGGTTGGACAAGTTTCCTTCAAATGATTCTAGACCGTCACTGTTGAGTCAGCTCAGTCTTAGAATCTTCCCAGTTCTGGTTTCTGACATCAGAGAACAGAGGCAAGCCGGGCCCTCTGTGCCTGTCTGAGTTATTAACCCACAGAACGTGTGAGCGTAATACCACTCAGTTTTGGCAGCAATGGTAACTGGAACAGTCAATTCTAAAAGCACCGTGAAAAAGTTTAGTTTTTGTTTTTTCTTTTCCATTTGTGAATAAAGAGGTTTAAGAGTGGAGATAAAAGAAACAAAATGACACGAGGCCAACAAGATAGAAAAGAGGAAGGGGAGAGAAAGTGAAACAGACAATCAGAACGCCCTAGGACACCTTTACTTTTTTTAGCATCTCCTTCTATTGCTTACTTTGTCTAGTTGTTGTTCTCTGATTAATATTTGGGGTACTATAGATAGAAATTGGAGCAGGGTGCAAAGTGACATAAAGTCAATGATGTCTGTGTAGTGGGCAAATCCTTTGTTTTCTCTTACAAAAAGACCTTATTTTTTTTAGAGCAGTTTTAGATTCACAGAAAAATGCAGGAGAAAGTATAGAGAATTGCTGTATATTTTCTGCCCCCACACAAACACAACCTCCTCCCATATCAATCTCTGACACTAGAATGGCACATTTATTACAATCAGTGAACCTACACTGACACATCATCATCGCCCAAAGCCCATAGTTTACATTAATGTTTATTCTTGGTGTTATACATTCTATGGGTTTTGACGAATGTGTGACATGTATCTACCATTACAGTATCATAATGGTTTCACCACCCTAAAACTCACCTGTGCTCTTCCTAATCATCCCTTCCTCCCCCAACCCCTGGCAACCACTGATCTTTTCACTGTCTTTATATCTATATTTTGCCTTCTACAGGATGTCATGTCATTGGACTCATACAGCATGCAGCCCTTTCTGACTGGCTTCTTTCACCTAGTAACATGCATTTAAGATTCCACCAGAACTTTTTACGGCATGACAGTGCATTTCTTTTACGCATGGGAAACCCTTTTACCCAGGCAGAATGTCTCTTCTCATCCAAAGAGCAAGGGTATAATGACAGGAACAGATACCCTGATATTAGAAGGACCAGGATTTAAATTCTGCTCTGTCCTTTTGCCAGCTATGTGACATGAGAGAAACAACTCAGTATCTCTTAAAATAGGAATTATCATATTAATCTCATATAATTGGTATGAGGATAAAATAAGGAATGCAGAGTCCTGGATGAGACATATGGTATAAAAGAAGAAAATTAAGAGCCCGTCAAAAAATTCAAGATTTCTTTATAATTCTAAGCCATGCAATGTAGCAGAAAGAGAAGACAGAAAATTCTTAACTTGGGACAACTACAGAACTATAGCAAGTATTTTACAGAAGATGGATAAAAGAGTATGATCCTCTTTTGTCTTTTACACTGCCTCTATTATCTTCTACATTGTACCTTAGCTAATATAAACAGTACCAGAAGAACTATGTAATAATTCTTCTGTAATATTCTTCTGTAATTTCACACCTGTAATCCCAGCACTTTGGGAGGCCGAGGCGGATGGATCACCAAGGTCAGCAGTACAAGAACAGCCTGGCCAACATGGTGAAATCCCATCTCTACTAAAAATACAAAAATTAACTGGGCGTGGTGGCAGGCAACTGGAATCCCAGCTACTCAGGAGGCTGAGGCAGGAGAATCACTTGAACCCGGGAGGCAGAGGTAACAGTGAGCCGAGACTGCACCATTGCACTCCACCTGGGTGACAAGAGTGAATATAGTGTGTGTGTGTGTGTGTGTGTGTGTGTGTGTGTATGTTTGTGTGTGTAGTTTAAGACTGGGTATTTGTTGCAGATAGTGTCTAAATTCCTGTTTATCCGAATGGGCTCTTGTGGACAATGAGACTGAATTAAGGACTAGTTTTCTGAGAGGCATTCACAGAGTCAGAGCTTCACTGCTCTGAGCTTCCCTTACAGTAGGATGGGCTCTACCATAGCAGTGGAGAGTGGGTTACAGTAGGTCAAGATCAGGGCAGAGAGAAACAGTAAGGTCTCCACTGAAATTGGGATCCAAGTCAAACTCAGGTTTATTAGTATTTTTATTGCTGCTGCTGTTATTGTTATTATCATTGCCACTGTTTTGAAATATTTAATTAATTTGTTTACAGGGTAGGTGAGGAGAGCTGGCTTACATTTCCCAGATTAAGGAGGATAGCACTAAAGCTCTGACGGAAGGACTGTGATCATTCTGATTATTCTGACCATGCTGATGCCTGGGTATGGAAGAAGTTACAACAGAAGGTGACCCAGAACCAAGATGAGAAAAGAAGCAGCTCTGGATGTAACCAGCTGGATTTTTACCATTTCACTTGTGAGGGGGCATTCATATTTAAATTAGAAGCAGAGGGCATGTTTTCTGTAGTTTATTTTACCTACATGCTTGAGTTTACAGCCAAGGAGTTTGTGTAAAGTCAATTTCCATGTGTACTTCTTCTCAGAAATTCTTTGGATATCTTCCTACAAACCCCAGGGAGAGGAATAGGAATCAACTGGATCCAACCAACCATTACAGTTAAGATTATGTGGTCAGCATAGAGAGAGTTGATCTTCCACCATTTACGGAAGGGTTCTTCAACCACAAATAGAACTTTTTGGGGTGCCACATAGACAGAGAAGTAGAGGTATTTTTTTCTGTCAAATATTGAATAATTGGGGTTACTTGCATTTTTAAGATACCTATAATAGAACTTTGTTCTGTTTTCAGTTTCCTTTATATAATGATATTTATTCAGGTTCTAAAGAGACTACAGCATATTCTAAAATTTTCTGAGCAATAAGAGTCATAAAACGTTTGACAGATCTTTGTCCAGATAATTCTGATGGCAGCTAGATGTTATAGTAATAGCTCATCTCTGCATTATTTAGAAAACAGTTACTTCTATCAATCTAGAATCTCCTTACATCCTTAAAAATAAACTAAATTCCCAATAATTGCAAAATATTTAATAGTTCATGCAGCTCTTTCAAGTGATATCATTTACCTTCACAACATTACTATGAGGTTGGTAGGAATAATTATCTGAATTTTACAAATAAATACAGATTTATAGAGTTTTATCTTGAGGCCACACAATAGCTGAGGATAAGACTAGAAACCAGGCATTCTATTGCCATTGTAAGTATATTTAAAAAGAGATTTCTGCATTTGACTTAAGCCTTCTAGTACATTTGTGGAATGTTATCAACAGTGATCAAAAGCATCAAATCACATTTTTGATTTTTTTTCTAAATTATTAATGTATAAAAGTTTTGAGTTTTTGCTTTGAGTTCTCTGTTGGTTGAAGATTCCTCCTTTTGTTATTTGTTCTCCAGCATCTTTTACTCTGTTCTTTCTGGAAAATTTGCTCTTTATCTTATTCCCATCTAATACTGTAAGAATGTACAGTATTAGATTCTTCCTTGATATAGTACTGTATAAATATTTGGATATGAACAATGACTTATGCAGAAACTACCTTTGCCAAATTTGCCAGTGATAGCTGCCAATGTGGTATTTTTTTTTGTAATGCATCTTAAGAAGGTAGTATTCTTCAAGATTTAGTTCATGTGCTTTGTGTCTGATAATTTATGCAGAACACCAAAAAAGCATTTAAACAGTCCTTTCTTCTAAAAAAATA